GTAAGTAAAGTAAGAAATCTTTATCAAATTTCTTTTCATTTTGTTTACTACAATTATGTTGTTCAAGAATGGTCATTTGTAAACATAATGAGCATTCTTCTCTTGGGGTATTATCCCAGATTCTAAACTTTTCTTATAAAGTCATTTCAGGGCGGATAATTTCTTTTTCTCTTTGATTATTCGTAAATCATTTCTGATGATTAGGATTGCTTGGATACATTTTACAATCATGACCAGGTAACCTAAGATAATTGCAATCAGGGCAATTGATAGTGATAACTCTTCTCCAGGGGTCATTGATAGTTTCTTTAGACATTTTCTTTTTCAGGGTGTATTTAGTTTTTCCGTTTGTCACTTTTTCTGTTCGGGATTGGATCTCATTCAGGGTCCTTAAATAGTTGTTGGAATGTTACGGATTGTTTTGGAATCTTTCAGATTCTTTTCGAATGTTTATTCGTTTGTACTTTTGTTATTCCTTATTCTTCAATGACTTCTGTTTGATCATTGTCACTTGTTTCTATTTCTTCAATAATATCAGTGTTATTTGTTGGGTCACTGATTTTAGCTGTCCTTCGTAAACATCTTATTAATGCTTCGAATTGGTCATGAGGGTTTTGTCTTTTTCAAATAAATACTAATAATTCCGTAAAAAGGTAATGACGTTCTCTTGGTGGAATCTTTGACTTGATTACTTGCCAGTGTGCTTCAATAGTGTTTGTGTGATACACTTGGATTTCTCCTGTCACAGGGTTTGTATCTTTTATTGTAAAGCCTTGGCTGTGATTTATGGCGTGGTGTTGTATTTCTAGCTATGAATAAATATTTTGGTAACCTTTCCACATGTCTGAATAGATTACTGATTCGAGATGTATGTGTTTCTCTATTTGTTTCAGCAGTGTATCTGCTGACCTATCTTCTACAATCATTGCAAACATCTTTTGTTGGGGCGTTCGTTCTACGCCTCCAAATACCCATATATAGTTTAATTTCATTTCAAATTCATTTATCTCTTCATTGTATATCCATGTCTTTCGTGTTCCAAACTTTTATTCGTCTATTTCTACAATGATATCTTGTCCACTTATTTGTTGGTGTTCTTCTTCAAGATTAAAGCTGACTAATTCCTTAAAGATCTTTAGTCATCATGTAATTGTTGTTGGTGACATTCCTGTGAATGTTTTGATTGATTTGTGTTTCATCTCGATTATCCATAAATAGCCTATTTCTAATATACGATTACATGGCGTATTCGCGCTATAGAATACTGTGTTTGTAAATATTGACATTCTTTTTCTACATGCGCGTTTTACGCAGTTGAATACGGTATTGTTAAGAGTCATGTTTTGGTTGCACTTTGAGCATTTCATTTGTTTAGGTAGTACTTCTTTTCCTTGTAAGTATTTGATTGCTTGAGCTTCTCATTCGAAGATTCTTTGTAATTCACGATAATAGGGTGTGTGAGTCATCTTTGTTTACTCGATATTACGCATTTGTTTACGTGTTTATCTGGCGTCTAATTCATCAATGAATTCGTTGTACTCCTGTGATCCAAATGTTTTCCAGTAGATATCTTCTGGTGGTATAAATGAATCTTCTTGTATCATCCACGTTTCAATTACTAGTGCTACTATCCAGCAATATGGTATAAGTGAAGTTCGTGGTTGGTCCATTAGATAAGGATGTTTTATACGCTTTTCCTTTTCGCGTCATATTTATAGATTATCAAAATTATCTGGTGTAACTATGTGTTACCTTAGTTATTATATAACCACAGCTTATCAGATTTGTTCTGACTAAAATTCCGAATCATAACCTTAAACAATAACTTAAATCTGAACTATTATTCATTCTAAAATATCTTCCAATAATAACAATAATACTCCTTCTGAAAATAATGATGATTGTTTCTTCGATTATAAGCATTTTCGTATTGATATTAATTCTAAGGAAGTTTATCTTTCTTATCCTTTTGCTAAGTATCTCTGGGATACTTATAACGGTCATCCTACTCGTATCGAGGATTTCTTAAAAAGTATTACTCGCGATTTTTTTTAGAACTTAAAAGAAGATGAATCTTATGAGTTTGATTTCCCAGCCTATAAATGGCTTATTTTTGATAACGAAGATTTCCAAGGTCGCGACTTTCAGGAGGTAATTGATAAGTATTGGTTCGAAGAGGATTGTACTCTTAGCCGGTTTTTAATTGACCACGTCATTATGGTTGATATTAATCTTGAGAATCCTAATATGGATTCTGAAGGTTTTCGCAAACTCGCTCCTAAGGGCCTTGATTGGGAAACTACTCCTACTCTTAGTAATTTCGAAACTATTCAGGTAGATCTTCCTAAGTGTGTTGAAATCGTAGATGTAGATTCTTATACTTTTTCTAATTCTAATAGTCATTCATCCGAGAATCAGAATTGTCATAAAGATGATAAGTGGTATGAAGATTTAGATTCTAATTTCAGTTGGGATTATATTCGTTGTAGAGATTGTAATTTTATTTGTTATAACTGTCTTTATAGTGACGATGATGCCTTATTTAACTATCAACCTTGTGACTATTCAAGATGTTCTACTCTATATTCTTATTTTTCTATTGATTAATAAAGCTATATTTTATTCTTGTTTTTCTTTATAATCTTTTCGTAATTCTTGT